CCCATAGAGAACATACGTGGGGCAGTATATTTAATTCTTTTTTTAAAAGAAAACTTGAACTTTTAAAAAAAAAAGATTTATTTATTTATGCATAGAAGAATTGGGGTGTAGGCCAGAGACATGGGGGTGAGAGGATTCACGAGAGATGAGTAGAAACTTGAACTTTTAATCTGCATTTTGGAATTTATTGTCCTTCATATTTTGAATTATATTGGGAAGCATCAGTGAGGGAACTATATAGTCATGTGAAAGTTCAGGGCCTTAGTGCTGTTTTTGTTATTTTTCACATCTCATTTTCACCAAATCCTGTTGTTGTGGAAGCAGTAGTGGTTATACTAGTACTGAAGTTAGAATGATAGCTACACTTATATAGTGTTTATATAAACTTCTTTTCTTAATATTTTACTTATATCACAAATCCTTATAACAACCCTTTGAAATAGATATATTCTACATAGAGAAAACTGAAGCATAAAGAGTTTAACTTGCTCAAGGGCACATAGTTGGTAAGTGGCTGAGTTATAACTATTCCTTTAAAGTGGTCTTCAAGAACATTTTACCACCAACACCTTCCTTTCTGTTTCATTTAATTTAGGGTTTCATCATGTATTGCTCACATGAACTATTGTGGTAGCTTCCTGTTAGACTTCCTTTCAATTTTTCCTTCCGTAAATTTAGATGATCTTTCTAGAAGTTAAGCATAATCACATTGATAGCCAATAGCTGTTCTTCTGCCCCCATGAAGATAATTATTTAGTATGTTATAATCTGTTACTATCATTTATTTTGCTTAAATTAAATACTTTTTACATTCTGGCACAAAAAGGTATTCCAGGATCATCTCTGCCCCAACTTTGGACTTCGCATTTTCTCTAAGGAGCTTTTTGTAGAATATGGTAGTAAGAAGTCAAGATCTGGAAGCTACAATGCTATTGGTGTATCTTGCTTGCACAGGCGTGCGCTTGCACACACACACACCCTTGTGCTTATATCTGTATTACTGAAAACCATGGTTTCATCCTAGTCCTTCCAATGCCAATACATTCACTTCTGTCCTTTTTCCATATATGTAGCATCCTTCTCTGACAGTGAGAAACCTTACTCTTAGACTGAATTATTCAAGAAGGAACAGCACAGGGAAGGAAGCTTTTATAACATTTTAATTTTAATTCACTTATTTCTCAGAACATAATGTTCTTGATTTTCTTGATACCTCTCTGGCTGCTCTGTCTCCTTTCCTAGTTCTTACTCTTCTCCTCGTCTCTTCATGTTGGAAACCTAAAGATTCAGGTTAGGCTTCCACTTTCAAATTTTTATTTCCTGACCACACCTTTCTTTTAAATTCTAGATTTGCACATTGAGTTGTCTACTTAACATCTTCAAATGGCTGTTTAATAAATGTTTAACTCCTGAGCTTTCCCTTCATAAGCATATTCTATCTTCAGACCTTTCTATTCCAGTTGATGGCAATGTCATACTTCACAAGCATGACACATGACAAAACTAAAACCACTCAGTGATCAGTTTGATGGCCTCTATTCAAGGGAACATTGCTCAACAAGCAGTGGAACGCTTTTTTTTTTTTTAAATGTTTATTTATATATGCATATAAGAGCTGGGGTACAGGCCAGAGATGCCGTGGGGGGAGGGGTGTGTAGGGAGAGGATTCACCAGAGACAGAGTGGGGAATAGAACAGGCAGATTGACCAAAGCACACTGCTGAGGGGAGCAGTGGGCGAGCGAGAAGAGGTCTGCTGCGCCATGTGGGCTGCTCCCTGGCCGGCCAGGGATCAAACGTGCTGCAGAGGCTGTGGATCTCTTCATAGTGCGGTGCTTAACTCCTTGCGCCACCAGGGAGGCCCTGGAACACTCTCCTTGAAGGATTTTAGGCAAGAGTGAGTTTTATATAGAAGTTAAATACACAACCAGGAAACAGCATGATTGGTTAGAGATCAGGGATTTCCTTATGTCAAGCAGGCCCTGTTTTCTAGAGTAAGGTAAGCCAGATAAGGCAGAGATGGAGGGTTGTGATTGGTGTTAGGTTTCCTTGACATTGAGATATTTCTCTAAATGTAGGCCTACTTAGGTTTAGATTTCTCATGTGGGCCTGGTCACTTGGTGACCGCCATTTCATGGGACCCTATATACAAATTGACTTTTATTAGACAAAAGTCTTAGAGGCATGCTTTACTCATTTCTCTTATCCCACTTTCATACTCTCAGGAAATTCTGATAACACTACCTTTTTTAAAATTTTATTTTTTACATCATTGATCATTTTTAAACAATATTTGCTTCTCCCCACTCCCTCAGGTGTAGTCCCCATAGAATTTCTTTCACTGATGCACCATCACCACAGACCCCTGTGCTCCTCCCTCCCTCCCTCTGACCCCTCTCCCTCCTCTTCCCCTGCAGTATCTCTCTGATTTATAATTGTCTGGTTTTGCTTTGTTGTAGCACCACCTTTTAAAAATATATAAAATCTAACTACTACCTTCATTGCTACTACCCTGGTCCAAGTCACTATCATCTTTCATCTTTCCTCCTAACCCCTATACCTGCCTTTAACACTACTCCCTTATAATGTAAATGTAAATCATATCATGTCAATTCTTACTCAGAATCTTTTAATGGATTTCATCTCACTTATATTAGAAGCCAAGGTCTTTATAATGGCTTTTAGGGCCTTAATAGAGCCCACTCAGTTGCTTCCCAGCCTCATCTACTCCTCTATGTTACTTAGCTCTACCTTGTGTACATCAAAAATGCTTCCATCTTAGGGTCTCTGCAATGGCTGTTTCCTCTTGGAATACCCAAGTCCCTATTAGATTGCCCATGGTCCATGTGTTTGAGAGGAGTTCCTGTGAGGGACTTATTTGTGCTGTAAGGAGTGAATGAGAGAGGGTCAGGAGTATGGTAAATGTTTAAATCTTCTTGATGAAAAAGAGCCAGTGCATAAGATAATCCTAGACTTACTAGCAGTTGGTGAGTTCAGTCTACTTGCTATTCTGAGTAATAGTAAAAGAACTAAAGCAGAGGAGACTTTATTAACAAATTAATAGTGATAAAGTAGCCTTCAGTTAGCCAATGAAAACTTACAGCTTGCTAGTGCACTCTCTTTCTTAATGTTAATTATTTTCTCCCCCAATGTTGTACATTGTTAGTGATACAGAGGGGCACCTAGGGACTCCAAATTATTAAGGAGTGCAGGCTCTGACAGAGATTCGGCCATCTACATGCATAAAGGCAAAAGAAACAGATTTTTTTTTTTAATAGAAAGGATGTAGAGAGGGAGAGGGAGTAGAAAGGATATTCCTAATAAGACTCAAAAAACATTACCCATCCCCTTGTGAGCAAATACCCAGCCAAACAGGCTTGGCCCAAAGCAGGGTCACTGAAGCTTGAAAGTTTGCCACCGTCTAAGACACCTTCTGGCAGGGAACCACAAGAAAAGAGGATAGGCAGGTTCCAGAGCACTGGGGCAGCAAGAGAGAAATGCAAAATAGAACCCATAATCCAAAATGAAGTCAAAATAACTGCATTGTCTCTGCCAAGGACCAGGAGCAGCCTCCTCTTATCTCTCACCCACCTTTCTCTTTTCCAAGTGTCACTACATGTCTCCTCCACATTTCCCCTCTAGGTTTCCCCTCAGCAGAATTAGGGTGCAAGTCAAAGCTGGAAAAGCAAGAGAGGGTGCCCACCTGCCTTTTGTGTTTTATAGGTTCATCTGGCTACTCAGCCCCACCCCTAGTTCCATAGCTTCCTTGCTCAGGAAGTCTGGTTCATGGTATACTGAGATACGTAGTCCAAGGCAGCTGCTTATAAGTCAGGGTGAGGAAAATTGTGCCTCCTCTTCATGGAGGTATATCTGTAACACTTTCACATTACTGAAATAACCTGTTCATGATTGTGCAGTATCATTCTTTTGAAATACCACTTGTTTACTTTGCTGATATTTAAGACATTTGTATCTGCATTCTCCAGTTAGATTGGTCTAACAGTTTCTGTATTCTGTGCTCTTATCATCAGTTTGGCATACAGATCTTGTTGCTATTATGAAATATGATGGGTATATTTATATTTTTTTCCTTTATATATTTTCAATTTCAGGGTTCCTACAGATTTTCAGTTTATTTTTTTGTAGGGTGTTTAGGGCAACTATAAAATTAGAGGGCACAGTCTCCACACAAGACCACCCTCACTTCTGACACCAGCTGCAGATTTGGGTGTTTCCCCAAACCACTGAGGTTCCGTTAGCTCATTAGACACACTCATAGCTCTTACCCCAAAGTGCTTTACTTGTGGTTATGGTTTATTACAGAGAACTCTAAGTTAAAGATTGCCCAAAGGAAGAGACATATCGGACAGAATCCAAGAGAATTCCCAACACAGGACTTCCCTTGTCCTCTCCCATGGTCAGGTTGCCTTTTTCTCCTGACCTCAATGTGTGACAGTGTGTAAGGAGTCCTGCCAGCAAGGGAAACGCACCCAACTGTTTGGTGTCTAGAATTTTTATTGGGGCTTTGTCATGTAGGCATGGTTGATTTCTCACTGGATAATCTCAGTCTCCAGGTTGTTTGATCCAAAGTCCCTACCCTAAAGCACATTGTTGGCATTTCTGGATTTGCTAACCCCTACCCTACGGCTATCTGGGTTTAGTCCATTCCCTACTTAAATCACATTATTAGGTTTTTCAGTATGACCCAGTGCTCCCCACACTCTCTTAGCAGACATAACATTACCGGCCCAGAAGATTACCAGTCAGAAGCCCAGGACAAAAGCCAGACCTTCTCTTTGGGTGAGGCTAAATTCTTCGCTGGACACTTTAGTACAGTTAATTTTCTCTTTTCATTTCCTTTGATTCTTTGATACCAGATTAAGTTTATAGGGGTTCTGTTAAATGAATTATCTTATATTTTGAACCTTGTAAAAGAAAAAAATAATGGCCACATTTGATTTAACTTTCATTTAAATTAACTTTCTCTTTTTCTTTTTTTAAGAATAAAGGTTCTCTTCAGTTTGAAGACAAATGGGATTTCATGCGTCCAATTGTTTTGAAGCTTTTACGTCAGGAATCTGTTACAAAACAGCAGTGGTTTGATCTGTTTTCGTAAGTAATTTATTAATTCTAACCTTTTGCTAATAGGAAGGAAAGTTTATTGATGTGTTTCTCTATTCAAATGGAATGTTGACTCTAGATTATTCTGATTACCTGTTTAAAAATATAACATATTGGGGATCCTCAAGACTGCCTTCAGGTTCAGTGATACACTGGAAGGACTCATAGAACTGAGCATACACTGACACTCTGACTTATTGTCACAAAAGAATGCAGAGCAAAAGCAGCACAGGAAAGGTACATGGAGTGAAGTCCTGGGGAAAATGAGGTACACCTTCAAGAGTGCTCTCTATTGGCATCCCACGGGCCACATTTTATTTTCCCAGCAACAAGATCCATGACTTGTCTGATCTATAGTCTACCAGGAAACTCATCAGAGACTTAGTACCACCCAAGGTGTTTCTGGAGGTGGTCATCACACAAGCAGGAGGGTAGATGTTGCATATTGTTTCTACAAACAGTTGAAACACAGTAAGCTGTTATTATTTTGGAAAAGTTGTGTGTCAGTGTTGACCATTCAAGCTCTCAGCACCAGCCAAGCTCAAGCAGGCCTTTCTGAGGAATGTGGTCTCAGGCCCATTATGTTTCCTTTTGGGCCCTGGCCAAAATGTCTTTATAGCAAAACTGTTACCAGTAGAACTCCATGCAGCAAGGCAAGACCAACCTGTAGCGGTGATCTCAGTTGTGTCTGTTAAAGGTCCTGGATTTAGCTAGAGTAAATCCCGTCAACCATAAGGTTTATCGTAGCAAACCAGATGACTTGTTCTTTCAGTTTCTATATGAACCTTTTTATATGGCACGAGGCATCAATTCATAGCATAATTTTGTTGCATAAACTGAAGCAGACCTGATCATTTTCCAGGGTTGAAGCATAGTAGTGATAGGTTACACACGCGAAAATACAAGGTTAGTGCACATGAGGTACCCTTGTAGTTCATGGTGCTTTCCATCAAGTAGAATAGGTTAACAAGACCCCCTGGGTACCTACCTTCCTTTGGGGCTTTTGATTTTGTAGTTCCCACTTTACTCCAGTTAATTCAGTTCAGGCATTGTTTTCAGATGGACTGCCAGAAGGCCATTAATTCCAAACAGTGGTGTCGTTCTATCCATGACATCCATTCATTTGCCTCACTGGTGTGGATATTTAGAGACCTTCTACTTGGAAAGTGCAGGAGCTGGGGCCAGCTCCAGCTGTCTCAGAGTGCTGTTAGGTATGAGTGAAACCTGACAGTCAGTTTGAATTCATAGCTCTCACAGCAGCCTGTGATGCCAACCAACAACAAGGGTTTTCCTTCAGAAAGAGGCAAATGATTTTATGAATAATTCTTGTTTTGTTTTAAAGATTTATTTATTTATTTATATAAGCACTGGGTACAGTCAGAAGCACGGGAGGGTGAGAGAATTCACCAGAGCCAGAGTAGGGAGCAGAGCAGGCAGAAGGACCGAAGTACACTGCTGAGGGGAGCAGCGGGCTGCAGGAGAGGTCTGCGTGCCATGTGGGACCCTCCTCTGGTGGCCGGGGAACAGCCGGGGATCGAACCGGCGCTGCAGAGGCTGCGGGCAGCTTCGCAACCCAGCGCTCAACCACTGCGCCACCAGGGAGGCCCGATTTTATGAATAATTCTGGGGGAAAAAAATCGTTAATGTCTCTTATTTTTTCCTCCCTTATTAAATCAGTGTGTCACATTCAGTAATGAAAACTTCATTTTCTGAATCATCCAAGCCTGCAAGAACAACAAAAGCATTTTTACAGAAAAACATTTTTGTACATATTAACTAGAGAGCCATACCATGTTTAGGAATTGGTCTGGATAAAATCTGGAATTGTCAAAATAGGTTTACGTCACCTCACCTCTGTTTCCTCATCATTTGTACCTAGTGAGCAGTCTAGAAAAGATCAGTTCCTTTCTGGAAGCAACTATGTGTAATAACCCATTTGCCTTAGTAAAGCATGTGTACAAGGAAGGATGAGGTGAAGGTGATTGAAATAGAATCAGGCTGTTAATCCATTGCTGAAAACTGCCACTAACCCAGAAAGCCAAACACAGGTCAGCAGCAATGAGACATCTCTGAAGGGGGGCGGGGGCGAGGGCGGTGTCTAGTGCATTCTGTAAGGAGCAGGTAGAATGCCTTCTTTTAACTTGCAGCTATGGGCAGTAACCCCAAGTTAGGAATACAGTTAGTGCTCTGGGTAGGATAAATGAAGATTGCTTAGGCTTTTGCACCATTGGTCTCTGTGGCTATCACCTGCGGCCTTGAATGTAGGAGGCACTTGGGAGCGTGAGCTCGGGGTAAGCATGCTTGATGGTGGACACCTGGAATATGGTGTGGGCATGTGTAGGTGGGTCCACCTGAGCCAAGAGACAGCATATAAGGGCAGCATCACAGAGGACAGAGTGCAGCAAATGTTACTGTGCGGCGGAGTGCAGCAGAAAACAGCTACAAGAGGAAAGAACATATAGACACTTGCAGGGGGCACTAAAATGCTGTCTCCCTGCTGGCTTGTTTTCCCCTAACCTGTGGGGATGATGCCAAGAGCTCCAAGCTTCTCTTTGAAGCTGCCTGAACCAATGAGGAACCTACCCGGCCTGGGATAGTTGCAAAAAACTGTCAGCTTTATAGAGAGCCAGTCAGCATGTTGATTTCAGCTGGCCTTATCAGTGAATCAGCCCTTGTTTGGGGGCATCTGTCTGTAGGTGCTTTAGTTGGTTCAGCCAGAATCCTTGATGTTTTCAATTTATGACTCCACAGAGGTTGTCTTAAGTCTTCAGTCACCAGTCCTTAAGTCAGAGTCCTGTTCATTGAACATATGCCCGCTTCAGATTGCACAGCTGTGTTGAGGTTGAAGATAGTGTCAGGCTCCAGCTTAGAGTCAGATCCAGGAAATTAGGATCTGTGAATTCAGGATCTAGAAGAGCCAGCTCCTTTTCCTTCAGCCACAGCAAAGCCAAGATACTGCAGATCAGTCTTGTTCCAAGTCCAGCTGACAAATTTTGCTAAGCCCTTTTATCTTGTCAGTGTTAGAATCCAAATTGATCCACTCAGAAATAGGCACAGTGGGCCAGAAAATCTCCCTCTAAGGGTCAGACACTTGATTTCGCAAGCTCTCAATAGCAGCTGAAACTGCTTTTTAAACTGCCAGCATGTTTTTCTATTTGAAGATTTTGTTTACATGTGTGTCCCTTTTCTCACAGACACCAATAGGTAAATATAATAGTAAATATTATTCATTAGGGAGATTTATTTTATTACTTAGTTTAAATTCCATTTCCCTTCCCTGCAGCACCAAAACCTGTAGGTTCAAAAATTTGTTATCTTAAAATTTTAAGTGGTATACTATAGCTAACTTTTTATCCCTAATTCTACATAGCTTCATTGATCTGTGTCTTAAGTAGTTGATCCATTTTTATTTTCCTATAAACCATTTTTGGGTTCTTTTTAAAATACTTTTTTCAACAAAATAACTTAATTTTGCTTTCCTTGGAAGGAATTTTATAGTTACTGAATTCACTGACTACCCAGGAACCCCTTCAGAATTGCCTTTTTTTTTTTTTTTTTTTTTTCTTTGCATAGAATAACTAGGGTGTAGGTTAGAGGTTCGGGGGGTGGGTGGGTGAGAGGATTCACCAGAGACAGAGTGGGGAGCAGAATAGGCGGATTGACTGAAATACACTGCTAAGGGGAGCAATGGGCGAGACAGGAAAGGTCTGATGAGCCATGTGAGTCAGCTCCTTGGCCGGGGATCAACTTAGGTTGTAGAGGTGAGACTTAATCCCTAGGTCACCAGAGAGGCCCCCAGAATCGTCTTTACTACTTTTTACTTTGATGTAAACTTTTTATTGAAATATGGACTATTAGTGTAATTTTTACAGAGGGAGCACATTTATGTAACCAGCACCTACATAAAGAAACCAAATGTAATAAAACTCATAGTTCCCTCTACCCTGACTAGGGAACTACTTGCCCTCTAAAAATTAGCTTCCTGCCTCACTTCTAGTATAATTTACTTTTACTTGCTTTTGAACTATATATAAACAGAATCATACAAAATGTACTGTTGTGTTTGATGTCTTTTGCTACATTAAGTTTATGAGACTTATTAGTGCATGTAGTTTCCGTAGTACCTTTCCCTTGTAGTATTGTATGTCTTTTTATGAATTTAGCCCTCTCTGCTTAATAGACATTTGAGTTGATTTCAGTTTTGAACTATTATGATTAGTGCTGCTATGAAGTCTTGAACATTTTTTTTTTTAAGATTTATTTTTATTTATTTGTTTGTTTGTTTATTTATTTATTTATTTATTTATGCAAGCACTGGGTACAGTCAGAAGCACGGGAGGGTGAGAGAATTCACCAGAGCCAGAGCGGGGAACAGAGCTGGCAGAAGGACCGAAGCAAAACTGCTGAGGGGAGTAGTGGGCGGCAGGAGAGGTCTGCGCACCATGTGGGACCCTACTCTCGTGGCTGGGGAGCAGCCGGGGATCCAGTCGGGGATCCATTCGGCGCTGCAGAGGCTGTGGGCAGCTTTGCAACCCAGCACTCAACCGCTGCGCCACCGGGGAGGCCCTGAACAGTTTTATTTTAAGTGCTGTAAGGTTTTTGTTTTTTTTTTTTAAAAGATTTATTTATGCATACAAGAGCTGGGGTACAGGGCAGAGATGTGGGGGTGGTGGGTGGGGGTGAGAGGATTCACCAGAGACAGTGGGGAACAGAACAGGCAGATTGACCAAAGTACACTGCTGAAGGGAGCAGGGCAAGTCAGGAGAGGTCTGCTGTGCAATGTGGGTTGCTCCCTGGCTGGCTGGGGATCGAACTCGTGCTGCAGAGTCTGCAGATTGCTTCATAGTGCGGCGCTTAACCCCTTGCGCCACCAGGGAGGCCCTTGAACATATTTTTTGGTGAACATTTATATGTATTTCTGTTGAGACAAATAGAAGTGGAATTTCTTGGTTATAAAATTGTTTGTTCACACTTGTGTTTTCAGCCTTCAT